CTGAACTCCAACCAATGGACGTGAATTTAATAGTAAATATCAATATGTATAGGTTGCATGCTAAAATAAAAAATGTCCATTTCTATAATTATGTAGAATTTTTTTTGTGATATTTAAATAAACTTTATTTAAATAGATAATGCGTTATAATAAAACTTTCAATTCACTGTATAAGTACATTTTTTCTATTGTTAGTGTCGTTTTTTCTATAAACGTAGAATAAAATATTTTTTTAAAGATTTTTACCTTTTTACGCCAAAGAAGTATCACTTCTAACGCGTGTACATAAGTACACACACGTTTTTTTACGAAGTTAATTTTTTAATTAAAGAAAATATAGTATTGTCTTTTATTGACATAACTTTTACACATTTAAAGAAAACACTTTTTACCGGATTGAAGTTATGTATTATTACGTATTCACGGTGACCATGCACGCTGTAAAGCACGAGAAACGTCGGAAAAAATTAAAAATATGTAAATTTATAATAATACATAACTTCAATCCGGTAAAAAAGTGTTTTCTTTAAAGAAAATATGTTCATCAAGGTAATTCTTATGTATTTTGGGTAAATTAACTCCAGAAATAGATCACGGATGTTTAAAATATCAGGACTCTAATATGACGTTATTTAAATACGCAAATGACGCAAAGCGCAGTGATGTAATATATGAACGTTGCAGGAGTCACGTAGTGAGCTCAGTAGGAGGATCAAAAACGGGGTGGGACAGGTCAATGACTGGACCAAGAATGCCGCCGCTCATTGTATAATGGTTTGCAATTACGTTCGGGCTTTATGCAACCTTCAAAATGTCTAGTTTCTGATTTTGACTTCTGTAGCATTTTTATTTTATTCTTACATTTTTGGTATAAAAAAAAGAAAACAAATTGATTAAAAACATACAGTTACACTAAACAACATTTGTAAACCTGAATTCCAATTAGATCTGTACACAGCATTTTGCATTCTAGCATTTTGGCATCTTCGGTGCTGGATTACTAAATATTAACTATTACATACAGTATACATATTTTAAATTTAATGACAAGAAATGAAGTTATTCAGGTTGCTAGTCTTCACCGCGAATAATCTTTTTAAATTCATAAATACTATTGCGAAAAATATCAACATGAGAACACACAGAATTATAATACTTGCACATCCTAGCGATCGGACCATTCTGGGATACACTTTTGTTACTTGTGGGTATCATAAATAGTTGTGGGATTACGCACAGAACGCGTTGGTACCTTGATGTCAAGTTTATCCAAAAGATAGTCAAGTGAGCCATTTGCTATTTTATGTAAAGTGCACAGGTCGCTCATCCAAATCCTCCTTTCAAGACTTAACATTGGTGGTAAAGTTATTTATTATGTGTATGTATTAAGAACGTCAGAAACTAAATGATAAGTTTACGACTGATTTAATCAGGACATTGAAAACGTCACTTTTTAAGTGTCAAATAAACCGAGATTTTCATCGCATACCGGGGACCGATTTTTAATAGATTGGATTTATATTGGAAATTACTTAACAGTGTTATTTATTACAATTGCGCCTGAACGATGTAATGTTTTGTTGTTATAGCTGTTGTATTATTATGATGTAATCTATTAAATACGTATTTTTTTCTAAATGTATTATCAAGAAACAGCCATCGTCACACTCATCATATCCGCTATGGTTATTTAATATTTTCACGGTTATACCACGTTTAATTGTTAGTATGTTTGTGTAATAGTGTTTTTAAATTGACATGCTTTTATGAGTTATTACCTGTTTTTAACCTAATTCACGATTTTGTATCACCTGTTCGATGTCAACTTGCTAAGTGTTCAACTCAATATTTCTGTAAAAACCAAATATTATTATTAGTATATAAAAACAAGGCAGGATGATGAGTTTATTAGTACACTATTTGACTAAATGAGCAGTGTTCTAGTGGCTTCAGCGTGCTACTCTCATCCCTGAGGTCGTAGGTTCGATCCCCGGCTGTGCACCAATGTACTTTCTGTCTATGTGCGCATTTAACATTCGCGCGCACGGTGAAGGAGAACATCGTGAAGAAACCGGCTTGCCTTAGACCCAAAGAGTAGACGGCGTGTCAGGCACAGGAGGCTGACACGCCTGGATCACCTATATTAGATTAACAAATGATCATGAAACAGAAATCTGAGGCCCATGCCTAAATAGGTTGTAGCGCGACTGATTTATTTTATTTAACAAAAACGTGTCAGAAAAAATAAATTGTATAAATTAAATCGTATTTGTAACAAGATTCAAATAATTTTGCTATTCGTATAAAAACACTTTTAATAAATTTAACAATTCACTCTTATGCGTAGATTTTTGAATAACGAAAATATCTGCGTGTTTTCAATGTCTTCATCGATGTTTCTTAAAACTGGCTTTATTATATAAAAACATAAGTCTTTAAATTCACTTCAAAATAGTTTTTAATTTAACGTGAGCATTGCATCAAAAGATAGGTTTTTTACCAGGATTTCTCTTTATTTCATCAGCAACGCGCATGCTTAGTCACCAGTTCATGGAATCATTTTGTATCGCATATCGGTGCTCAAAGCACTATTGTAGTGTACAAAGAATATTGTGAAGTTGTCTTTGGTTTAAGTTCGAGTCAAAGTTGTGAGTACTTTGTCTTGTTGTACTTCTCATTCAGTACAATAATTGAAACATACTGATATATTTCGTGTATTTTAACCAACGCAGATTTAAAACGATAAACTATTTCTGTTCTATACTTATAAAGGAGTGAACAATTGTTATAGATTGGCTGGTAATAATATTTCCATTAAAACTAAGTACACGGTCCATTATGGTATTGAGTTACGCCCAATTGTGAAGCGCCGCGTTTGGCTTCCACTACCATATTATGTCTGATTGATTGAATGGAATTTTTACTATAGCTTTTGACAGCTTTAGTCGCGTCGCCTCCATTGAAGGCATTACTTTGGAATTATTCCTGGGTTGGAAGCAACTAACTGGACAGAAGTGTCCAGAGCCAAAAGTTACCACTTTTCAAAACATGCAATTATCATTGCAACAACCAGTAAAGCATGAATTTGTTAACTTAATAAATTCTTAAATAATGTTGATAAGGGTACAGAAACACAGAAGGAACTAATTGAAACGTGATCTGCTGTATGAATACAAGTGTAACTTTAGAAATGTGACATCAGATGTAATCTTTGATACATTTGTGTGACCTAACTGAATTAAGTATTTGTTTAGGGTCGAGTCGCACAAATTGTAAAGACAATATTTGAGGATACAGACTCAGAATTGTGTCCGTTCTATTATGAAAAGTTGGTGTACATATTCGGATGGAAATTAGTTTTATTTTGACCTACTAAATAAACCTTAAAATGAAGATTTCTTCATAACGCACCTACTGATAATTACAATATTAATTGACCGATGACGACACTCGATGTAATAGCTATTTATTTAAAACTTCTTAGTTGCTATGAGAATTATTTTTTAACATCATAAGCGTTTTTTTATTATTTTCCATTTCATTACTACAATTCATATTCACTATTCTGTGTGATTTATGAGAAATTATTAGATGTTATTTAACATATAAAGAATCATTACAAATGGAGGCTGATAGAAACAGTTTTGGTTATAGTGATAATACTATCATCAACTTATTATTTATCAGTTTAATGGTTGTAAGTCCTCGCATATGTCCCACTTGAGTGACAATCACTTGATGGGTTACTGATGTCGATTCAACCTGTCCGTGATACCGGCGGAACGCGAACTCTGTTATCTCATAGCGTGGCTGGCGAATGAACGAAGCGGTAACCATTGAATATTTATCAGCGCCTCGCCTCGCCGTGTATTTAGTTTGGTCGCGTCACAGTGCGCCGTCGTCGCCGCCAATCGCAGCTCCCGCCTCCCATATCATTCGCGCCACGGACTTCATACAAAGCGTACCTGTGCGTACAGCCTAAAACCGGCGAACTCGAAACTCGATCAGCTGTGTGAGAACGATCTCAAACTTCTTGCTAACTCTGATATTTAGTTAACCAAAATGGTAAGAAGTGTTTTTGCGCGTCAGTGATTGTGAAAAGTGAAATGACGGTGTTGTGTTGGCACTTGGCATCGCGTGTTTGTTACCTAATCTCTTTTGTACAGTTGGATATAAATTATTAATTAGTGGATACCAATAATACGTACTCGTAATATCACATTTCGTTTGTGCATCGGTAAAACAATAGCTACATTTGCATGATTCTCGTGTCGTGTTTAGTTGTGATATGTAGGTAGAATTATTTACGTTTAATAGCTTGTGTAGAATGTTGTTTTTCATGCAATAAATTAGCGAATCGCATCAGTGGTTGAATGCCGAGAATTGCGGCCGCATCTTCAGTTGCGTTTTGTGAGATCATCTAAAATTAGTTCTAGCGTCCCCCGCCTCCTTCAATTGTTACATAACGCGCCACCAGCTCGGCCTTGACTCCCGCGCCGGTCTCAGCGCCATTTTCTTACTGATGCTTAATGTCTCACTTGTAATTAATATACTTTGTGTTGTGAAACTTTTCCACTACTTTCTTATGAATGTTGTTGGTTAGTTTAAACTTGTCTGTAATTGCATATCTTATCGGAATCAAAAAGTTTTAGCGTAAATATTGCGATAATCATGATAATTACGAGACATAAGTCTAGTCATGCTGAAATTATGTGCCTATATACGGAATTTATAAGCTTTAAATTGTTTATGTAAAATTAAAAAAAAAACAAAAGAGTAAAAATCATTTGTAATTTTGTTTTTTTTTGTAAACTGCGCGTAATTTTCGATCTTTTTTTAATGATAACATTTCACTTTCTAAATCATAACAACTTTGAGATTTCGCGGCTGTGTCCTCGACCGTGGAGATGTAATTATTATTGTTGAATTCCCGCTCAGCGCTATCACGGCCAAGGTCGAAGTAACATCTGTTCAATCTGAACATAGGCGAAAAAATATCAATGACATCTATTTCAATTTGTTTTGCTTACGAAATTTTACATCGCAGAAACGAAGAAAGCCCTAAGTTGTGAGTAAATTCGGGATTGTCTACTTTGACGGTATTTTGTTCTAAAATCTCCTACCGGCAATCGATACCTCGTGTTGTTACTGCGCGCGCATTCAGTTTCACTAGCTTTCTGGTGAATGGCCGCCCGAAGGAAACTTGGGATGTTTGGCTTCGGCAGGGGGAGAAGGCAAGGTCGTACTTACTATGATCATTGCGTCTCGTTCAAACCTATTACCACAATATCCTACCCTCTCCTTCTAATAAATTCACTTTCGGAAAAGCGTAAATGCAACGCCGTAACACACCCCCTCATGATACGAACATTAAGTGAATCGGCGAAATGCTTGATTCGTAATTACTCGCCGACAAATTCGATAAAGGTATTGATGATGTTACTATGTAGATCTCATACATTATGAATACTATGCAAGCGGAAATTTACATATTAATTTATGAGGTTAATGAAAACTTGAACTGAAGGCGTCAACAACATATTATTGCGCGGCTATTGATAGATAAATTCTTATTCAAATCACTGACGTAAACGTTGAATATACTCCCTTAGCTCCTTGGGTTATCTCACCACTTGACATTTATTAATTAATCCAACAATTATGTTAACACTGATAACTATCAAGCGTATTAACAATTCCGCTGTGTTCTATTCTCTGTTGTTCCACCGCCTACGCCTGTTGTGCCTATAAAAATCTCAGAATTTTATCGTAATAATTGTCGGGAAGGGTTTACTCGATCGAAATCGAGGTATTGTAGAAATCCAGATGCATTAATGGTGAAAATCATATTTATAAATTAATATAAAAAATTTAATCTTTAGTTTTTGCTTGATTACGTGCGACGCTATCAGGCAGTTTGATCGTTGTCCTTGAATACTGTTGACTGATTACTTGTCTGCATTATTAACATGTTCGTTTTTACTATACTTGTGTATATACTATTCTCACCTACTGTTTCTATGTATGTGAAACTAATTAACAATAGACTATTATCGCGCGCTTCTATTATCATTTATCATGCATACATATTACCCTCCATTAAATTAACACGGTTTTTGCATACTTAGTAAAGCCAAAGCCGATAGACCAGATTATATTGTGTTTCTTTTCGTCATCTATATGTTCTGCTTTTTTCTCAGCGGTATCGAGTGCAAAGATGAAGTATTCGCTGCACACCAAGTGCAGCATGCGGATCTAAAACCAGTTGTGACTCCAATCGCAACTAGAATAGCTACTTCGCCGAGCTGTGTATCTGAACCGGCTAACGGCGCCATTGTGGCTGCAATACTCCCCGAGGAGGAGCGACCAATACCTGTCACAGAGCTCATATTCGCACCAAGAGAGAAAGAAATGAACAAAGGCTATCTCACGTTCTCCCAAAACGAGGGATTTACAAGTGAGTGGAACTTGAAACGCGACAGCTTAGGTACCATTGCTTGCTTTGCTTCATCCGTATTCATGATCTATTATCATTAAACACTTACGTTATTTATTTATTGCAGTGCTAAAAGACGAGCCCGAGGATCTGACACATTTGGCTCCCACGGCTGGTGACACTTGTATTCCTTTGGAAAACAGTCCTTTTGATATGTTTGACGAGTTTATATTGAACGACAATTATTGTAGTCTTCTCGGCGATGACCTAGCAAATGGATCGCCCGTAGATTCTTTGATAGCAGACTCTTTGCTGTCATCTCCTGAACGTCAGGTAAAGAAAGGGATAAAAATTGAATTTAAAGTAATAATATTTTAAGTTACTTAATATTTAAAGTTTTTTGGTCGCTTTTAAGGAAAATGAATCAACCGGTGAACAGTCCTCGTTATTAACGGAATTATCGTTAGATGCGTATGACAGCGCAAGGTCGGACAACGACATTGACGATGGCAACTCTCCGTTCATTCCGATCAATGATGACTTACCTATTCTGGAACCGGCAGTCATGTGGGGTGCTTTACCAGACAATGTCAGACAGGCAAGACCCCAGCCATCAGAGCCACAGACGTCTGCACCAGCGTTACAGCGTTTGCTGGTCGCTCCCCCTACCGGACCACCTCCACAAGATCTCATCACAAATATTTATTCAGATCCAGGTTGACTATACTTCTTTCGTTCATATGTTTGTTTGTTCTCGTTCATATCTTTAATTATCCATATGTTTTAGGTCTAATACCAAATAAGAGTATATCCTCATGGGACACGGGTGTAAAGAGGGTTCTTAAACAAGAGGAGGAGCCCTGTGCGAAGCGTGTGAAGCGCAGCCCCTCTCCCGCCCCCTGCCCACCTCACAATCATCATCAAGTGTCCTCATGAACCTCCTGGTGAGCGGCTGTGATGTTGACGCTGGATACATATGTATGGTTCAGTGTCGACCTCGCCAAAAGGCGAAAGCATGAGATGCAAGCGTCTCTATAAAAAAACTGTGATAATGTGCGTCCAGTGTTTAAGGGTTGCCTCTTGCAAAATCAGGAATACGAATTATTTAAATCCGGTGCCGTCATAAATTGTGATATTATGGTTTAGACACGATCTATGTTACAATCTGGAACAGTGTAGTGCATAGAGGCAATGGAGTGGAATAAAATGGGACTTCCTTAGGGCTATTTAGCTAAGTTCATTTCTGGCTTGTAATCTCTGCCCCTGTGGCTAACGATGCGAAATAATGCAAATTTAGTATTGTAATGTTAACGCGCGCATATCTATGTGGTTATGAGGAAATTGAGCTGTTTATAGATTTATTAAGTTACCGTGCGTATACGCACGTTTTATGTTTCTTATAACGATTCGTTGTAGGTTTAGTTGACCGTTGCTCGTTATTTATTTTAGCTGGGTAAGATTAAGGTTGTTTTATCGAGTCTATTGAGTCTATAGTGCAACAGACGTTGTCTATTCAGAGTTTATACTAGGTTTTAGTACGTGAACAAGATTTGTTAGTATATTGTTATCACTGCCAAATGATATGAAGTACAATTTAGAACAAATCTAGGGACCTCTTAAACAATAGGTTTTATTAACGTATACAGTTTGCGCCTAACTTCATGACTGTCAGAACAAATCGCGACACAATATAATTGGTTTAAAGTGAGGCGCCATCTGTAGTCCGTTATTGCACATATTCGTTTCGACGCCACAATTTTCATATTTTTAAATAAACATTCATAGATTTATCTCTACCTTTTATAGTCTAAGTGTTATTTTCAACGAAATGGTAATACATAATAAAATGAAAATATTTCGACAGTTTTTAGCTGAAATGGTGCACATTTTATTTTACCCTGTCCCTATTTCCTAACGCTTAGGTTTTACCACACCACGAGACATGACAGCAGGGCTTTCGTGTAATAATAATTCGATTTCAGTCAATGATTGCCTCGAATTTAACCAAAACTCGATTATATGATGAAGTTTTATACTTGCTATTTAAGTTGTGGTGGAAGCCTGTACTGTAGCTGTCAATTTTAGTAGTTAATTTACTGGTAGAACCCGAGCATATAAGAGTATTAGCTTTAGATCTTTCTCGAACTAAATGTGTTACAAAGTGGCTATATATGTATATAGCGATAAAGTTGTTATCAAGTTATGAATGTTTTCATTGATTTGAACTGGAGTAAATTTATCTGCATTCGGTACAGTGCGGTGCCTTAGATCTTGATTCTAGAAAGAGATAGGCATAGACCACAGACTTTCATGCTACCCTTACATATTTCTCTTTTCGAGCGTATCATAGACTATTCCAAATATGAAGATTTTAAGCCTTTACATTACATTTTAATTGACAACAGAAAAGCTTACAACATAGCCTAACGGAAATCTATTTTTTTTTATCACAGCAATATATTATTATATATATTTACGGCTTAGCAAAGAAAAAACACTAAAAGACCCATACCGACAACTATGAACTAAACTATTCAACTAAGTTTGGTCATCCATAGTATCTCTCGATAAATAGATAAATTATTATATATATTTCTCGATAGATAGAAAAAACAATTTTTCAATTCGAAACAGTTATTCTTGAGATGCATTTAGTCAAGCTCTTTTTTAATAACTCTTCTTGGTAGAACCGCTAGGTCGGCGACGCATTTGCGTCATGCCATTGTATTTGAATATTGCTTTAACTTGATATTAACACTGAAAGAAACAACCTTTGAATATAAAGTTTTTAATTATTAATAATAATTACCATTCATTTATCCATTTTTTGCACAATTGTAATAAATATTATTATGAAATACAATATTTTAACTCCAGTTAATACACACTTTTCAATACTAAAATATATTTATCAAATATTATGACATACGGAAGGAAAACGTAAGAAAACCGGCATGGGTTACCTAAAACATATGATTACATACTTGCCTATTAAGAAAAATGACCAAGAAACGACTCTGGTGTCAAGAAAGAGTTGTAGCACCACATTTTTTTCGACATAATAGCAGGCAAACGGGCATTAGGCTTCCCTGATGTTAAGTGATATCGCCGCCGATGGACACTCATATTGCCAAAAGGCTCGCAAGTGCGTTGCCGGCGTTTCAAGAATTGGTGCATTGGTTGAAAGACCCTAAGTGGAATTGGTTCGGAAATACTTTAGTGGGCAGCTGGTTCCACATAGTGGTGGTGCGCGGCTAAATCTGTCTTAAAAGGCTCAGTTGTGGTACGACCTGTATGTCAAAAACATATTGTATGACATTCGGAAGTCATAGTTTACTCTGAACTACGCAAGGTTTCGTATTAAAACCTTATCCTTTATACGTATAAAAATGGCAGCCCCGAATGTGAAAGTAGAACACATTATTATCGTGGCGAGTTGTTTAGGTAGATTTATTACATGAATAATTCAGCTATGGATGAAATAATCGAAATACTTAGTGAACTATATTTAAACATATTCGAAATTAGATTTGCGGGGGTGACAGTATATTTTCATAGACATTTTACGTTACTACTATTTTATTATTTAAAAGGGGAGCTACGCACTTGCGAGCCTTCTGAATGTCCATGAGCGGAGGGTATCACTTAACATCAGATGAGCTCCTTGCTCATTTGTACTATAAAAAAACAGTATTATAACATCTCATATAACGTTTTTGTAATGATCTGGGTGTTTTATACCCGCCTAAGTTTATGGGTCCATCCACCACGACCACGCATTGCTGAGTGGTTGAGAACCAAGATTAAAGAATCAGACATGTTTGTTGATAGCATTACAAATGGAGATTAAAATTATCTTATATATAAAATTCTCGTGTCACAATGCTCGTTCCTATACTCTTCCGAAACGGCTCAACCGATTCTTATGAATTTTTTCATGCATATTCAGTAAGTCTGAGAATCGGCTACTATCTCTCAAACCCCTAAATTTTTATATTTTAAATATTTTTTATTTTTTTTATACTGAATACGAAAATATATACAACACTAAATTGTCACCCCTCTACGATCAACCCCTATTTTTTATTTGTTAATTAAAAGCTTGTGACTTGAACTCTGAGGTTTATATAGAGAAAAATTCACAGAAAAACCTAAAAAGTTTTCATTCCGGAAAACCGAACAGTCTCTGGGGTAGCATATCAAAATGTGCCATGTTGGTATGTACTAAAAAGGTAGGCTAAGTAAAATCACATTAAGGAGAAACGAAGTTATCGAGGGCAGCTAGTATTCTATAGTATTCTATTATATAACTACCATTATTATCGTGAGATTTGGGACAATATCGTTGATATTATTTTGCCATAATTACGTGTACGTATATGTTATGAAGCCAGGGAAATATTAACGCTTTAGTGATATCATTTCGAATAAATAAAGTTTTTGATCCAAAGTATTTTTAAATAAACAATCGTAAAATCGCACTCGGATTTTTTAATAAACTAATTTTAGCTGTGGCAACAGTGGTTTGGCAAGTGGTGTATTTTTGTTTGTCGTTTGAAAGTCAAAGGATTGTTGCATTTCAGATATCAAGCGACTAAACGTTGTAAAATGTAACAAATACTTAAGCTTTTTAAAAAAAATTAGATGCCATTTTTATATAATTTGTATTTATTTTAAATTTATTCATTGTTAACGTATTGCACGACGGAGTGAATAAATTAACTCGAAAGATATATATTCTAATGATTTTAAAAACTTTCGCACTTGCGAGCTTTCTGGCAATGATTTTAAAACAATTGGTGACTTTCACCAGTATAATACGTGAAATTGAACTGATTTGAGTGTACGACCAACCACGCTCCAGAAGATAAACCACTCCTTATATGGAAATTGTATTCGTTTTTACAACAAACTCCCAAGCGAAATTAGATAATTATCACTAAATAAATTCAAAGCCCCTTAGTTAAAGGTAAATTAATCAATAAAACTTTTTATATATTTAACGAATACTTAAATGATCCTAATCCTTGGGAATGATGGGAGTTCAAACAATTTGTATGACTCAAAACTTAGCGATTAAAAAGAGTGGCGGATAGTTTCTTGCCAGTTCTTCTCGCCCGCTCTACGCCCTTGACTTGCGAACTGGTAGTAAATGTAAATTTACAATTAATTTAACTTCTTTTTTGACGTTTATAATTGTACTTGTTCCTATATGAATAAAAATATTTTGAGTTTGAGTTTGAATGTCTCCATGGGCTCATCGCTTAAGATCAGATGACATTTGCCCGTTTGCTCCGTTTTATAAAAAATAGCAAATTTAAATAATATAACGCAAACGACTGCCATTAATAAAACTTCTACAATTTATTATCAAATCTAATCGTTCACGTAATAACTATCTTAAGGCGACGCAATAAAGAAACAATATAGCTTTATTAACATTAATTGGTAGTTCAAACGATAGCGATCCAATATCTAATAAAAGTTAGATTTCAATAAATGATTGTCCTCATGGTTATGACTATTATACATTTATAATCACAGGATTCTTGATATGAAGACATTCTGAGCACACTTAGTGATATAAAAAAAATTGCCAATCCTAAATATTATCGTTTCTGATAGACAATGAAAAGCGGAATGCTGATTACTAAAATTTAATTCAACATATGAAAAAACGGTTCCGATGATCAATTAAATTGCATCTTTCCAATAAACTAAACAATGCTAAAAATCTTGTAAGTTTTTTCATAGCCACCAGAAAAAGCAAACCAAGTTTTTTAATTACAAAATTCAAACTCAAGAACACTATAGCATACTAATGATTCATTTCTGAAGTCTGTCCAGTAGTTTTTGATTTCATTTGTTTGATACAAAATAGAACTCTTTATTACAGCCTAAACACAGTTTGACAGAATCTTTAGTTAAAATGTTCTATTTTTATAATTAGTTTAAAGGCATCTCTTCTGTACAATAGCACCAAAATATTCGTTTAAATTAACGCCCAAAGTGTGGTTGGCTTTTAAACAACTAGAGAATAAGCTGTATTAATAGTCTCCCGGGATTTTTACAAAATAGTATATATATAGCAATTTATAAAAATATTCAATTTATATTTTTTCTTAATTCACACTTTAATCTATATAATACATAATATTTTCTTGGATAAATTGTTCATATTAAATTGTTTAGACTGATCAAATCGTTCCACAATACACCATTGTTATAAATAAAACGGAAGAAACCAATCACATGATAAGAAAAATAAACTGTCATGTGATTTAGAGGATGTAGATTTACAATGGGGAGGGTCTACGTATCATGGGACCGATGGGATGGGCACAAATTGGTACAAGACCGCAATAATAATAAATGGACACGAAAGCTCTTGTCTCTTGAACCCTATTGAACTTTGAAGTCACATACATTGTAAGTTATAGTAGTAAAAGTTTTGTATGAGAAATGTTAATACACGATGTAATATGATGATCAGTATCAGATCTTTCTTCCAGATGGTAAGAAATGGATATAATTAATGCTTAGAGGGATGTATGTAGGTTAAGAAGAAATCTATATGTACTACTGTTTATTAACACAAATACCACGCCCAATATTGTCGAACGCGCCTGAAACATTCAAAACAAAATAACAATATTTGTTACGTATTTTCGTGTACTCGTATATTAAACAAAGCTAATACTCTTTCCTCATTATTATCCTTAAATCCCTTGTGCACCGTTTTACGCAATAAACGTGTAGAAAAACCAATATCGTTGACTAATATATTATTTTATGTTACAGGATATGGAACGGGCGAGGCAAGAGAAGATTTCGACAAATTATCGTGTTGTCCTAAATCCACAATTACCCGTCCCGAACAGAAATATCCCGATTCCTGTCATAAATATAATACAAGCGAATAAACAGGGCGCAAATGCCCCAATTATACGCTCAACTCCAAGTGCTCTGTCTCCATTGAGTCTTAGTATAGGCCAGTACTCTTTGCCGTGCAGTCCGAATTACAGTCCCGTTGGCAGTCCCATGAAAGTTCAGTCCACTCCTCAGTCGTTATCTCCTGCTAGTAGCTACACCTTCAGTCCCGGTAGACTGGTGTCCCCGACTGGTGCACTACAAGGCTACGACCCGTACCTATCAAATAAAATGCAAGTCAGCCCTGGATTTTCCATGCAAAACGAAATGCTTCTTGATCCGAACGTATCCCTCGCATCGAATGACTTTTGGCCTGACACGGACGTAATTCAGAATACTAGCGATCTTCTGACTGCGTTTGATGATGTAAAATTAGTTTAAGACGTTGATAAGTGATTTTTATTGGTTTTGTGTGGAATGCACTTTTTACTTCACACAAACATTCCAATGTACTGAAGCCATGAAGAGAAGGTCATTTGAACTGTCGGATTTATAGCATGGAATCCGTTAGCCGTTCAATTAACAGCTTAGCCGTTTAACTAAACGGCGTTGTTTAACTAGCGGCCTGAAAGATGTACGGCCAGTTGATTAAACAGCTAGGCAAATGACTTGGATCGATTACGTTTCATTGCTTGCCTAGCCTGTTGACTGTTAATTTAATTACTCTTAAACTCGAAACGAAACTCTTCAAACTGTCAATATGGCGTCGGCAAATCACAACTTTGATGGTGTTTTCTAAATTTTCATGAAAAACAACAAGTACAATGTAAGAGTGTAGGAAACATAATAATGTGAATTTGACTTAAGCAATTTAATTTTAAAAGAAATATGTTTTATGTCTGCCAAATAATGACTGTATTGCACGAATGGCCTAAGCATTAGCCAGCCAGTTTATTAAATGTTGTAACAAACGCTACGGCGAAATATCTTTCAGGCCGTTAGTTAAACGGCGCCGTTTAGTTAAAAGGCTAAGCTGTTCATTAAACGGCTAATTAAGCTAGTTGGCTGCGACATATGCATTTTTAAAGAAATGTTTTGAGACCTATATACATTGTAAGTCTTAGTGGTCTTCTCATCATATCTCCAGTAAATAGAAGTCACTCGATTGAGGAGGGGTCGTAATATGCTTCCGAAACCGAAAAAGAGTTCCATCTAAAATATCTTATGACAAAGATAAATTCTATACATTTAAAAAAAATATATAAATTTCTTACATGAATATGGAAGCTTTTTTGGTTGTAAAATAATTTAAGATAAGTACATAGTAGAATTCTATATAATATAAGCAAGGTGCACCGGCAAGACCGTAGAATTATGATGATGGAAATATATAGGAATGTACTAAAGTTTAAAATAATAAAACTTAAAAAAACATATCATTGTAATCGTTGGAATCTAGTAATTGTCTCCGGCTAAAAGGCTAATCATTTACTGGCTAATATAAATGCATAGACCCTAAGCCCTTATAAAAACTAAATCAGCCTAATTTCATTTAACGAAATTACTCTTTCCTCTCTTTCTTTCTAATTGTATTGACGCTGTGTTAAAAAGAGACAGCTTAGTAATATAGTTATAATTATATAGATTGATTTAGATATATGAAAATCATAATGTAGTGTCTATGGTCTTGGGGGTGACACATGTGACAATTTAAACTAAAGTGGGCGAATTGTGAAAAGCTAAATGTTAATTATTGGTTATATATTTTCGTTTTGTAAGGCTTATCAATATATCACCAATTATGTTGTTATTAAGTAAGATATACAAATATACTCAATTAAAAGTAAGAAGTGGCATAGTCACAGACGACATTTAAATTATTTCTAGTAAAAGATTTATTTTTCTTAATCGTTTATGCATACTATGCCAATTTCTATACAGCTTGCGTATTACGGAACGTAGTATCTAATTTAAAAAAAACAACTTTTATTGCCCACCAGAACTGTCACTAAGATTGTCTGTGAATACTTATTGTAAATTGTCAGTTGACAGTTATACTAAGATCATACACATCAATAAAAAGTGGCTAATTTCATCGGAAAATTTAAAAACACCAATACGTTTCGTTAAACGTAAGCTAACTTTCGGAGCCTTTATACCTCAACGGTAACTAACATATTGACAAATAACATAATTTAATCATTGTATTTGGGGTTTCGTGTACAGAAGTACCAATTGTTTCTCTCGAATATTTATCATTTCACGTAATTTTAGTAATCATTAAATTAATTGATACGCTATGTAAGTTTATATCCACTTCCATAAGTACAATATAAAATAATTTCCAAATGCAATTCATTATTTTAAAAAAATATCTGTACTTTTTTTGTTTTAGTAGATTTACGTAGAGGTAGTTGTGTATGTTTCAATAATTTTATTTTCATCTTTTGCTATTTGAAATCTATAGTCTATTTCAGAATAATTTAATTTTATGTTATTTTAAATTCATTTTCACATACTGTGCCATAGTATTTATGGTGATATCTACTCTATTTAATAGTTAATATTATAATGTTATAAAAATAAATCAAATGTTGAATGTGCATAAAATCATTATTTTATATATTTTGATATTAAATTTCTGTCATATAATTGATTCTGTTTTACTTGAGTATCCTTGTAGGAAAATTACCCCTATACCTACATGATTTAAAAAAATACATCGAATTTACCTTTGGGGGTTTGTTCATATATGTAATGTGATCTGTTTCTATTGATCAATAATTATTAATTATTTTTGCTGACATATTGTTGGAGTACCTTATGCAAATTTTAATTTATATTGTAGAAATTAAAAGACGAGACACTATTTTTACACCAGCTATCAGCTATTCGCTTACAGCGCCATCTCGTTATTGTTTAACAAACTACATAGAAGTAAATAGAAGCGCCATTTACTTAATAAAAACATTTTTTACAGTGGATTGCTATTAAATTTTAACAGTCGCTTCGTGAAAATACATTAATAGTTTTTACTTCTTCGGTCTCTGTATTTAGACTATTTTGTATAAATGAGCACTACTCGTTGATATATGACGATTGACCCATGTGACGTTATTCGACTATCCCCACATTAGCAACCGGTATCTGTCATCTGTCAATCGTGAACCGATAGCAAAATAACGCGAAGTGCGAACGAGCAACTGCTATCGAAAAAACGAGACTTAATTAATTCAAATTAAGTTCAGCTGTATTTATTTATAAACACATTTGTAAAATGAAGTAGAGCTTAACATTGTTAAAAAACGGTTGCTAGTAAAGTGTATATTATCCGTTCATCGCTTCAATGGCTTCTACTCCTAAACAAGTGAACGGCAATGCATCGCCGAGCAACGGTCCTCTGGGAAAGCGAAAAAAATCCAAAGGAAGTAAAAGTTCCTATTTATCGAAATGGCTGGATAAAACAATGCATCATATTCAGGAATCCGCTCCAGATGGATATGATAATCAACGAACGAATTCAAATTGGTCTATGTGTCCTTCACCAATTGTTCCAGGATACGATTCCCATCGCTTAATGTACGGGTCGAATGAACCGATGTCCTTACCAACCTTGCCCATGCACTACAACCCTATGATGCACCATTATCCGGAATACAGGCCACAGCATTTCGAAAACAAGAGTATTCAGGTGCAGCGACCTAGAATACGACGGCGGAGTAAAAATAGAGCAGAAGAACTTTCTAGTGTACCAGCAGATGTAGCTAATCAAAATTACATGCAACCAAAGAATTTTTCTGATAGCCAAGACTTTGCAAGCTTGCCACCTATTGTCACATCTACTGGGGACACAAATTCAAATAGTGATTTGCTTAATGATAAAGATGATGGTAGTAATAATAGACGGTACAGTGATCCTTGTATGCGAGGTATACAAGGTGCAGAAGAACAAGCCAATGGAGAATCAGACTCTGAATCTAGTTCTGGTGTGTCTGGGAGTCAGGTTGGAAGCAGACTATTGTCATACTTGCTTGACCAGATAACGTCACTGAAAATCGTTAATGAAAGACTTAATAAGGAATTACAAGAAACAAGAGGTGAGTAGACCATTAACTGCGATTTGAAGTTGTTACAAGTTTGATTTATAATTATTTTATTGATAATGACTATGAATTGATATTCAGATTACCATATATATGCTGATAATTCATTTGATTAATTTTTAAGTATAGTATCTAAAATTTATTTAGCACTAATTGTCATCTTAGTGAAACTCGGTGAAGAAAATACCTTAAAGAATTTTACAGTTAAATGATAAACAACTTGGTAATTGGCTTATTGTTACTTAACCTAGATTCACACTTTTTATAATTAGATTTACAATTTTTATAAGTACATTGAATTGACTATTCTTTCCTCAAACAAAATCAAAGTGCCTATAAAATTGTGAAATTTATTTTAATATTGCAACTTTATTCTTAATGGAGCCTAAGAGTGAAATAAAATATTGACATATACTTAATCCCTTAATTTTTGCCACACAAACATGTCTATCATGTAAAATTAAAACTTTCTTCCATTCCACTATGCATGCACGGAATTTTCTTACATAATCCATATTTTTATTAATTTATTCGTATATATATAAATATAGTACAAAATACCATACTGAATATTTACTTGTCAACTAAAGACAACCTTAACGCCTACAAAATGAGGTCATTTTATATTATGATAAAATATATTAATACTAAAAACATCCTACACATTGCCTTGTGAATCATATTACTTAAGTTTTGACCAAGTTAATGTTACTTATCCTTGACGTGTCAACAGTTTGTTATTTGTATTGAAATTTGAAAACATTTTTAAATTCACCTGTTCCTTAGATCATGTTTCTCACCTGTCTGCCGTTGTGCAATTTCAATAGTACAGGTTGGTTTAATTAACTCACTTACACCTGTTATTATGAGATCAAGTAGTTACCATTAGTGAGCCGTCTATACACTAAATATATATCTCAAAGGATAAAAACATATAATTAAATGAAATGTGTAAAAATAAGGCATTATTTTTTTTGATATTTTCAGCTGAATTGGATAGTTATCAACCTCAAAGTTTTTATGCGAAAGGTGCAACAAATATGGGTGCTGGAGGTAACTATACTTTGCTGATTTTTATTTATTTATTTACACTTCATTGCAATAAAAATAACACAATACATAAAAATTTTAAGGGATGCAACGGGCGGCCTTTTCGCTTATAAGCGATCTCTTCCAGGCAACCCTAGTTAAAGAGAAAAACTAAAATAAGAAACATGATGAGTGCGAGAAGTGCAGAACCAAATGTTATGATTTTTTCGTATTTACATTTAGTATCTTGGCTTAGGAACCTTTTTTTATCTAAATAGGATAAGATAAAGATCCTATTAATAATTTTGCGTTTATTACAGCAACCTTCAACTGCATATTTCTCGTTCTTTTTTGTTTTTCGTGACATTCTATAAGTACCGTAAAACCTATATCTAAAAAGCGTTCGTGTCTGGCAAATCTCAGTACTAAGTGAGATTGCGTGTTGCGTTCGACCTATTCTGATAACCCTAGGTCGATAATCCGCAGATAATTTCGATTTGTGAGTAGAAAATATATTTATGAATATCCACAATCGAGACTGTCTCTACCGTTTTCTAGATCACATTTAATTAGAAGTATCCAGTTACGGCTGGGAATGGCTAGATTTATACTGTTTTTTAAATATCGAATTCGTTTAGGAATGATAATTATGTGTAGTGACAAAAAAGTTTTTAATGAAGGATGTTATTTTGTAGCGTAAAATTAATGAAATATGTAACTTAAAAGCAGTAAGAACATATAAGTCGTGTTTTAAAATAATTATATCGAATTATAAAACGCTTCGTTTGATGTTTCGTACAGCCATCCTCATAGAATAAATCAAAGTCAAATTGTTTTATTCATTTAGAATAACCTAGAACATACATGAACTATACCATTATAGTATAGCAATCAGTATAGTCATATATTATAGCCGTCAGTGACCATTCACTGATGGCTAAGTTTTTAAACCAAAAATCATTTATTCATATAGATAACACAATATACACTTTAATGAACGTCAAAAAAGAAAAATACATTAAATTGTAATTTTACATTTACTGCCAGTTCTCAAATTGATCGGGCGTAGAACGGAAGAGAAGAACTGGCAATAAACTCTCCGCCACTCTTTATTCGCCAAGTTTTTGTTTTACACAACGTTTGTAAGGAGCTGCAACCATTACACCGTGTTCCACATGACATCTTAAGTAATAAATAATAATAAATTAAAATCAAAGATTCATCCTCTATCAGCAGGAGGCATGGTGAAATAGGAGCACGCACTTACATTCTCGTGGGAACAACACGCAAATACATAGTCGAGATAACTAACATCACCGCAAACACGAATTCAAGTACGACCAGTCACCACAAGTACAAGTAGCGGCACGAAACTCTAGCGCTGACCGTTATTGCGCAGAAGTAAAAAATAAGGTACCTGAGGGGGGGCTAGCGGAATGAAGAGCGTCGACGACTCATTGGTCTAGTGGTTAGTACCCCTGACTGCGAAACCATGGGTCCCGGGTTCGATCCCCGGCTGAGACGAACATCGATGTGATGAGCATTTGATGTTGTGCTTAGGTCTTGGGTGTTTAAATATGTATTTATATGTCTATCTATGTATAATATGTATGTATATCCGTTGCCTAGTACCCATAACACAAGCTTCACCAGCTTAGCATGGGACTAGGTCAATTGGTGTGAATTGTCTTTAAAAAAAAGAAAGAAAAAAAAAAAAGATTGGCTCTCCAGTCGCATTTTGTCCCCCGCGCGACAGTACACATGCGCAGCAATCCCCTCCACGTATCGGCCAGCGCTAGACTTACGTGCCGCTGCCTATAGCACCCGTTCCCGAGTATGACGCATGGCAATCATTGGTGTCTTATGGGGCCTGAAAAGAGAATAGATTTTTGGGACAAGACCAAGCAGTGGTCCAAACAGCTAGTAAATAGTTGCACACTTTATGAGGCTTCCCAGTAGATCCTGCATTTAACCGTTAAAGTGAGCCGGTATTACCGTTAATACGCAAATCCGTCTTATTACACTGTCGTCTCATTAATCGCGTAATTAGACAATCTCATTTAGTGCGTGTGAACTTGTTCATTTCTTTTAGCTTTACCTAATACTGGGCAATTATTTTCAATTCCCACGTTATCGTTTTATAATTTGAAAAACATTCTTTGTAAATAAATAGCTTCGAAATTAATTACATTTATTTATTTTTGGTGGCTTGTGTCGCACAGTTGGTGTATTATTTGAAAGTCTATGTTACTTATAATGTAGCATTTTAACAGTGAAATAATTAATGAAATCGAACTTGTAGCTTTAGAACGTATTATTTGTAATAAAAAAGTGCGTGCGTACAAAGTACACATGTCAGACGTGAAAAAAAACACGTAGCATTTTAATTTACAACAATTAAATTTAAGATTTCAAAAAAATATTTTGCATAAAATATAAAATACTAATACATATTTCATAACTTCTCTTTACGATATTTTAATTTTAAAAATATAATTTCTATAAGGTAATTCGCCCTTCTCACTCTCTCTCAATCGGTTTCAATCGCTCTCTCCCTTTTTATCGACAAAAACGCTGCACATCTTCGTGACGCTAATATTATTATTATTGCGTTTCATCCGTAAAAATTTTACCCTCATGCGCTTAAAGAAGTTCACTTCAAAAATCTAATTTTTTATCTTTATAATACTAGTATAAAAATATAAGTACGTATATATATATGGAGTGAGATGGATTCTCCAATAAAATTATCATAATACCGGGACTTTAGTCCAAGACTAAAGCTATTCAAAATCCTTTTAAAAATGTAAAATGGCATTAACCAATCACAAATAAATTATTACTTTGAATGGTTCTCTACCATGCACGTGCGCTCTGCAGGTGTCTTTGGATAGTAATAGCATGAACACATGTCACATACATAATAAACTCAAGATTATTGGAAGTAAACGAATCTTAATTTACATACAAAGGATCACTGTGGATAGTTTCGAGTAGTATCTTTACGTGTAAATATTTTATAATACCGTATATCGCTGGCATATATGGCACTAACAGATATTCAATACATTTGACGTAGTTATTTTAGGAATACCATTGGAAAGCGTTCATTCTGGAGTTTTTCCATCCAAAATTACTATATTGTACAGGATAAATTATTTTTTTATTCTTTCAGGTGGGCAGTATTCACCTGGATATCTCACAGAGCTGGTGCGGGAAATAAGAGATGCCACACGCATCAGAGAAGAAGCTATGTACGCGCGCCTGCGTACCTTGGTGCTAGAGAGAACTGATGTATGTACCTCTTCTAATATATTGGAATATACTATTTTTTACCGTAAATAATATAAAAATAATTTCAATACTCGATTACTTTGGTGAAACTGCAAGCCGGGCGTCTTGGAGCATCGCCAATTTTCATAAGCAAATAATAACTTTTTAAATGCGTAATACAAAAGAGTGATCATGTGATTGAACTTAGTTTTTTTGGGATAGAATGTTGTGGAGCTATAAACCTTAAAGGCCGGCAACGCACTGGCTAGCCCCTGGCATTGAGTGTTCACGGGCGGTATCACTTAACATCAGGTGAGCCTCGTGCCCGCCTGCCCCCTGCCCCTGGTCTATAAAAAAAGGGCCTCAATTTGTAACCCTTTTTTATAGTTGATCAGCCTGTGATGTAAATTTTTGGCTTTAGAGTCCGGTTTCCTCACGTTGTATTCTAGTGTTAATTGCGCACATAGAACGAAAAATGTGTTGAGGACTGCCTCTTAAGCCACCGGACGATCAGTTCTAGACATTTATTTTGTGTATATGATGATAGGAACCCGATACCGTAACATACATTAGCTAAATTATGGTTAATACGCAAAAAGCTGATGATGAAATCACTTCCGATATCATCAATCATCTTAGCCTTGTTCTCGATAACATTCTTCTACTTTATTTAATTATGTTGTGTAGACTTCCTATAAAGTAAGATTAACTTTCTAAGAAATCCGTTATTTTATTTACAAATTGGGATTGCATGTACGTGCTTTATCACGAAGATGCCTTAATATCGCAAGATACGAATAAAATAAGTAAAAAAACAACATAATAAAATACGTAGAATAGAATTGTTTTTTATGTAATTACTAACACTAGTCTGAAATAAACTTTCTTTTTTTAATTCAGATTTTTCTCTCCATTTATCGACAACGCTGTGTAACAAAAAAATATGCTCGGTCGAGTGTGCAGTGTGTGTCCTTAAGTGTCGTTAAATAGAGTTTACACTATTTATTTATTTTTTACGCCTTTAAATATATTATTTCGTGAGTGTTATGGGCTTGTGAATGGCAAAGTATATATATTATAATAAGTATAACCTTTCCTGTTGTTTCCTTGTTCCTTGTTTGTGACTTTTTACGTTAAATATATAGAAGTATGTACTTGGTTTAATATTTGTTGTTAAGGGAAATAATGTATCAAAGGTCACCAAACGTTCGGTGTTACCACAAAGAACCACATTTATTTTTCTTGAACCACACGCGGATTCTTTTTTTACAGCCAGTAACGTTTTTGTATTGAGTCGAACTCTTTGGTGATTGATATCACTGACAGTTTCACGTTCCCAATTCAAACCACTTAGAGCTATTTTAGTTTCAGGAAGCTAGTTTATGTTGTCTATGTGTGGTGGTTTCTTTATTTGTGCAGTCGCATCGCTAGTGCATTATAAAGCTAGTAAATGAGACCGTAATAATACCGGCTTTCACTAATACAGTGGGTCACGAAGTTACAACAAAAAGTGAAGGATGATTAGAGACGCTCCGAATAGCTTCCGCGTTGCAATTAAAATTATTACGATTAATATACCTACAGTCCTAAGTATGGCTACCGTTTCTTGAATTTTTCCTTTTCTTTCTTGGGCCGTTTTATTCCTGTGATTGTAATATTGCGTGTACGATATTTTAATGAAGAAGTTAACGATAATGTCAGTTTTTTTCAGCTGGAATGCATAGATTTTCCATTTTCTTACACGAATACGAAACGACGCTTAATTTTTAAACGCATTTTCACGTTAACTAAGATTTTATGTTTGTGCAACATAGAAAAAGATTATATATATTAGACTACATATATGTTAATATCAGTTTTGTGTACATTATGTACAACCTTGTATTTATAAACTCTATGTGGGAGGAATGCGTTCTTAATGTAAAAATAATTCATATCGGTAACTATGACTACTCTCAACTATTTTGAAAATGATCAAATGAATTCGGTTAATTATTTATTTGCGTCCAATATAATTTTTGGTAATATTTTATTCTTTAGTCTCTCTATTTTACTTGTATATATAAATATTTATATTTTTATATTTTATATTTTTAACGGGTGTGTGATCGAGACATACAAAGAATATGCTCCAGAAGCGGAGAAACAATCAAACGTCGATATTTAGTTATATCAACTACACGAATCGAACCCGGGACTGCTGTTATATAAACAAAGTTAATTTTAACACCTAAGAAAAGTAATTAATATAATATGATACAATTTAGTTGCTTTAACATACTAAAAACAAGTAGGTACTATAATGTCTATGGTTATACTTTTAAATACTAAAAAATCATTATTGTATTGAATATTGTTTGTAAATAAATAAATTATATACATTTAATGCAAGAAATATCTTTCATGATTATCGGACTTCAATACAGAATACAAAATACCATCCGTATCACCTCGACGTCTGTCGTTCCACAACTGAGCGTTTCTTAAGGCAGTTTTTGCCGCGCACCACCAGTATGTGGAACCAGGTTCGAAGTATTTCTGAACCAATTCGACTTAGGGGAACCTAGAAAAGAGCGTACCCATTCTTGAAAGACGGCAACGCATTTGCGAGGCTTCTGGCAATGTGAGTGTCGTCAGGTGAGCCCCCTGCCCGTCTGCCTACTATTACATTAAAAATAATTTAAAGAGAAAATAAAGACTGAAGGTAAAAATTTTATCGGTAAAGCTGTATCGCGTTGACGCTAAGATTTTGATAAGATAATGTTTGACCTAGTCATACTGTTAAGGAGATTTTTCGCGGCGTTAAAGAAATCACTTCTCCTAGGTTCTTCCTTTCGTCAGCAGATTAATCACGAAACTTGATTTAACGTGGTCACATCTGTTGGACAAAAGCATTTCTGACTTCTTCTGAGTAACATTTTCTAGGACCCCTTGTCTCATGAAGTACCAGAAATTATATAATCGATTTCTCATACAGTGTTTTAGAGGTTGAATTAAGATTTTCTTATTCACTGACGCATAGTCTCTACGTAGTTGGTCCCAAAGTTCTGTCACTAGCACATTATTTCTACATTTCGAGCAGGATTTTATAAAAAAATTATTGCATTCTATTTTGGAATGTTTGATTATTGTTTTAAAACAAAAAACAATAACTTTCCGTAATTTTTCACGATGGAGTGGACATTGAAAGTAAACCGAATAGTTGTTATTGCGTTGCACCGCTGTGGACACTCGCCGAGTACCATTTTCAAGTTGCTCAAAAATTTGAATATAACGCTTAGGTTTGTGTACGGTACTATTGATAGGTACCTTGAAGTCTCCAGTGTTGAGGACAAGAAAAGAACTGGCTGGCCACGCTCCGCAAGAACACCAGCAGTAATCAAAGCTATCAAGGCGCGGATAGTAAGAAATCCTGTCCGAAAACAGAAGTTGATGGATTTGCAGATGGGTGTCAGTAGGAAAACAGTAAAAAAGGTTTTAAATGAAGATCTTGGTCTACGAGCATACAAAAAAGAGTGGGCACTTACTTAATGCTCGTCTAAAAGCAATAAGGCTTAAGAGATCGCGGGTGTTGTTTAAGCGGTACGCGAAAAACCGACACCGTGATATCCTCTTTACGGACGAAAAATTTTTCGATATTGAAGAGAAGTACAATAAACAGAATTATACAGTGTACGCTAGGAGTTCTGAAGAAGCTGAAAATAAAGTTCCAAGGGTGCAACATGGACATCATCCATCATCAGTAATGGTTTGGTTGGGAGTGTCCTATTACGGGCTAACTGAGGTTAATTTTTTCGAAAAGGGGGTCAAAACCAGTGCTACAGTGTACCAAGAGACGGTTTTGTATCGCCTTGTCAAAGACATGTCCAGCACCCTATTTGCGGGACATCACTTCGTGTTCCAGCAGGACTCTGCGTCTGCATACAAAGCCAAGACCACTAAAGCCTGGTTTGAGCGTCAAAACATCGTCTTAATTAGACATGAGGATTGGCCTTCCTCCAGTCCGGACCTTAATCCTTTGGACCAGAAATTATGACAGGGCTTAGAGAGGAAGGTCTGTGATAAACCTCATGAAAATTTGGAGAATCTGAAGTCATCTTTAAAAAAACCAGTGACTGAAATCGACACGAATATGGTGCGTGCTGCGATAGACGACTGGCCGCGACGCTTAAGGGCCTGTATTAAAAATGAGGGAGGTTATTTCGAATATTTTTATGCTTTTTTTATTCCTTAATTAATGTACTAAGAATTGATATATCACTCATTACAAACTGATCAGTACTTTTGTTTTTATCATTATTTCCATTTATGACAGAACTTTGGGACCGACTACGTATATATAATACATATAATTCTACTATACGTGTGTATGTCACTGAACTCCTCTTAAACGGCTGGACCGATTGGAAATAATTTTTTTGTATGCGTTTGGGTGGCGCCCTGGATGGTTTAGATTCACAAATCAGCCCGGCAGATGGCGCTGCAGTCGGTATCTAGGTTATTTATCTATATTCCAACTTAACATCTGGTTTTCCAGGTCAAGTCGGTATCTCGTTAGTTTAACTGGTATATATAAATCTTCTTTTGTTACTAATAATACTAAACCAATAGATGTCTTGAATAAAGTGCCGTAGCAATTACGAATAGTATTTTTGATTTAAAAAGATCATGAAGCGATTTCATTTACTTTTTTATTTACCAAGAAATTGATTTTTAATATTATAATCTAATTAAACAAATTCTTCACACTATTAAGACTTGTGAAAGTTGAACTAATCAAATAATTTTTGAATTTTTCAAGAAAATTTAAAGAGGAAATGTTTTGATTATAATGCATTGTTACGAGTTAGGGTATCGGATAGAAAACGCCGTAGATATCTTCAGGGTTTTTTTAAATAAATCAACTAAGAATTTAAACTCACTAAAAAGACGCAAATTACTGTCACTATTTACTTTAATTACGCACTTCACAGTTCTTTATCACTTGCCTTCACTATTCGCACTTTGTCTTTTTGTTGTTAATCTATTGAACTCGAAATAAATAAATAAATCATTTATTTGCAAGAAAGTGCTACATTTAAATCGAATTATAAAAATAGGCATGCAAATTAATTTTCATATAATAAGAATATCAACACAATTTGTAATGTGTTAATAATAAGTTAAGCACCTGCCTTTAAAATTTTAATCACATCTCCCTTGAAAGCATTCAGAAACTGAATCTACTGATTATTTGTATTTCTTTTTATATGGAATCTCGCTGGCCTTAACGGCCTTTACAGCTCAACTCAGGCTATTTTGTCGAGCGTAGCTCGGCCGGAATGTGTAAAATCTACTGGCCGCGTTTTGCTCCCTTATTAATATATCCCTTGGAATAATCTTAAACAATGTTCGAGGACTTTCTTGGCAGGAGTGATACTGAGTAGCTGTTGTTCTATCCTTTTCGCACAATGCAAGAACGACACACTTTTTATCTCTTTCGTACATCGCTCCGTTCTAGTCGTACGGCGTTCTAGAATGTTCAGTATGGCTTCGAGAAGGTTCCGCCCTCTCTGTTTCGCGATTCATTCCGTCCTAGTCTCACACCTAGAAAGTTCACTGTAGCATATTCCTCCATCAAAGGGGTTTCACCAGTCCTCATAACTCCTGAAAACGGGTGTCCTGAAAACTGTACCATTCGACTACACTTACTCTGAAACAGACTGAAAAAAAAGATTTTTTATTCAAATTCAAATATTCTGGAATGTTAGAGGCTCTTCTAAAACGGCCATACATCACAATTCAGCTTCTGAAAACCTCTCTAACTTGTGGTAAAATCGATAAACATTTCAGTCAACCCATCTTCGTAACAGTATCTTATCGAATATTTTACATTAAATAGCGACGTGCGTTTCTCTAATCTCACTGATACACGCCTTTCACTACCAATAAAGGAGATTTTAATGTAAAATGGTTACTTAATCGCTACATTTTTTATCGTTTTAATTAGTAAGAGTAATCAAAACGTAATTTGTTTTATTTACTTAATTAAACTTTTCTTATTTAAATACCTATATAATTATTATTCGTAAATTTTGTTACAGAGCGGTTCAGGGTCAGCCACATCAGAATCAAAAGTTGCTGAACGGAATCTTGAAGAAATCAAGGTATGCTTAAACAGAGCGCCATCTCTTGAGGATATTCTAAACTATAATAAACTATTTGTGTAGCTGTGAAACGGCGCTGTTGCATCGTTTAGTAATTTAACAGATTTCCACTAGATGGCGCTTTTTACAATTTTAATTATTTTGTAAAAAAAATGTTTTAAATCACGTTAAATTACTATTTAAGATGATAAATACACATAAATTAAGAAAGGTTGTCCTTTGAATGAATAAATGAAGCCTTTATTTCTAACAACCAAGTTCGTACACCTAATAATGTTATGCATTTATATATTTTGATATTTAATATTATAATTAATGTACTCAGTCTTCCTCAGTGTTTGCTTGTTTTCCGACATAGGCCTCCCCCAGATTTTTCCACTTCAGTCTGTCCTGGGCTGTCCGCCATAGTGGGCCTGCTACTGTTTAAAGATTGTTTTCCCATCGGTTCAATGATCTTCCCCGGTTTCTTTTGCCCTGTACCATACCATACTACAATATCTTTAGTCCATTTACCTGTAATATCTCTTATCGTATGGCCTGCCCATCGCCATTTTAATTGTTTCACACTAAATTCAATGTTTTATAGTTTCGTCCTATTTCTTATTTTTGTTAGTCTTACTCTGTCCCGTCTTTTGATTTTTAACATGCTTCGTGTATAGATGATAAAATCTAAAGATAGTTTTACAATATTAACTCATTATTCTATCTAATGAATGTATACGTTGTAATATTCTCGATAAATTTGTCGAATCACGGCTCCACATTAAAACAGCTCCAATTTTTTTTCTATCGTTATTTGCTTGTATGTAGTACCCCAAGTAATATTAAAGAAGCGCATGGCTTTGGACCCCTTTAAATAAAATTATAAAACTTATAATATTACATGCATGATGTACATGATATTGTCTCAGTTCCCAGTGAATTACATTAGGTTAGTTTTTTTTTTAATTCTAAGAGGTTTGTGATCAGGTAAATAGGTTTCCTAGAATAGCGGTGCCGTTATCTAACGGCCGTAATGTAACGTTGGGTGACATCACCCATACGTTGTCTATAAATAACATCGGAGTAGGTTTTCTAGAGAACGTTGAGTGTCACCGTAACGTCGGAAACCTAAGCTTTACGTTAAAGCCAAAAAAATTGTACCTTCTTTCATTCATTTCACAAATCATTATGTTTTAATTAATTTCTATGCGGTTAAAGACTGCGCCACCACATTATTGCATGGTACATTTTCGAGTTGTCGAGTTTCGAGAGTCCATTGCCGAGTTGAACTTCCTTATGATGCGTAGGTATTTCTATGTATTTAATGAGAATTCGTGCATTCCGGAGTAGAATCTTAGACGACTAATTCAAAGAAGATTAAAACTTTGTACTTAAAAAAAGAGTGTATCAATTCTTAAAAGGCCGGCAACGCACTCACGAGCCCTCTGTCATTGACTGTCCACGGGTGACGGTATCACTTAACAAGTGAGCATCCTGCCCGTTTGCCCCCTGTTTTATAAAAAAATCCTGCAAGCAAAGATATGCAGCTGGGATTTTTTTATAATCTCTTACATAACGAAGGAATAAGAGAACCCTTTTACCCTAATACACCTGATAAGTAATATTTTACACAATCCTAAAAATTCATAATTTTCTCACAAAAACCTTTCTTTTTTACAAAAACCGATATTTCCATTTTTCTTATAACTATTAGTGTATTTGCGTAGCGTTGGGTGGTCCGTTGAGGGCTCTCCACTCGTCTTCACGTCATACACCTTTATTTGTTTGTTCGCGAAACACCCACAACCCGTGACTGCGCTAAATTTTGTACGATTTTTTTCACACTAAGAAAATAATTCATTTAAATGTCTGGATTTTATTTCTATAACTTTATTTCACTTTTGTATGAAGATATAATTTGGTTATAGTTATAATACAATTTTTAAATAATTTGTTAAAAGGTTATATCGCCTACCCCGGGAACAGGGGGTGTAAAGCACTATTACGACTGTTTAATATTTTCTCATTTTTGACTTCCTTGGGTGATGTTTTCTATAACTGTAAGTTTTGTCAAAAATTTTGCAAAACGTTTTACTATAGAAAGCACGAGGATGTCTCTATTCTACGGAAATTATTTTGTGCACAATGTTAGTAATACCTACTCAATTACCAAATTTTACCTCCCCTGAAATAGATCGCAATAACCATAAAGATAGTTTTAGATTAAATTGTAATTCAACCAAATAATCATAAAAGTTAATGCGACAGTTTAAAAACGAATAAAGAGTGGTAATAATAGATCCCAGCGATAGAGGGCAGTGTTGGTCTAGTGGCTTCAGCGTCCGACTCTCATCCCTGAAGCCGTAGGTTCGAACCCCGGCTGTGCAGCAATGGATTTTCTTACTATGTGCGCATTTAACATTCGCTCGAACCGTGAAGAAAAATATCTAAGGAAACCGGCTTGCCTTAGATCAAAAAAGTTGACAGCGTGACATATGAGGCTGATCACCTACTTGCCTATTAGATTAACAAATGATCATGAAACAGATACAGAAATTTGAGGCCCAGACCTAAAAAGGTTGTATCGCCACTGATTTATTTTTTTATTTAAATAATCGATCCCTATTTTACCAAGGTCGTAATATTTCCTCGAAAAGAGTGGCAATAGATTATTACGTTCTAGACATTCGTCAGAATGTGCCGTCATGTGTAGTTACTGTGTCGTCCGTAATTATATTTAAACAGTGAAACAATCGTAAACGCTTTTGCTCTTTAGCCTAATTAGATGAATTACTGTAATGTACATATAGTTATTTTTAACTATGTACACTAAATAAACCGTCGAATAGGAAAAAATAAGCTTTCATTTGATATGTATTGTATATGTTCTTAGCAGCCTAAATTTAATCCAAAAAAAAAACCAAAATTAAGAAAAATTAGTGGCGCTACAATCTATTTAGGTCTGGGCCACAGATTTATGTATCTGTTTCATGATCATATGTCAATCTAATAGGCAGGTGAATCAGCCTCCTTTGACACACGCCGTCAATTTTTTGGATCTAAGGCAAGCCGGTTTACTCACGATGTTGTCCTTCTCCGTTCGAGAGAATGTTAAATGTGCACATAGACATAAAGTGCATTGCAGCCGGGATGCGAACCCACGACCTCTGAAACTGCTACGCCGACAGTGATCGTTGGATTATAACCAATAATAATTCCAAATTTAAAATGCCTTCCCATAACGCTTGTCATATTCAATACATAACTTAATATTCCATAGAGAAATTTAGCATTACAATGCATTCATAGATAAATTTCGTAACAATGCAAGCCCCGTAGGTATAGCAGCATTTGTCAAAGTAAATAAACATAGTCGGGGGTTCGGTACCAGTTCGCGAACTAGGGATTATAAAATCAGCGTAGACTCGCTAAAGAGCGGAACGCATCGATTCACCTAAACGCGAGGGCATTCGTACGTTCGGTTGCCTTGGTGGCCTTCTATTACACAGCAGCGTAACAGCGGTGTAATGAAGTGCACAATTTGCAGGGTTATTGTTACCGATGGATGGATTTTCTAGTTGAATGTGAGCCACACACATATTTGGGCCCAGATTTATCTGTATTAATGATACAGGTAACACTTAATGTAAGGTTAATATACGTAGATACGAAACGCTAATATAGACACTAATACAACAAATTATAATGGAAATGGGACGCAATTGGACGAAGAAAATAACGGTTTGGACTGGTCCATTCCGAAGATGAAAGTGGTAGGTCACTGGATAGGCAGTCGGATTAAGACAGGGGGAGGTTTTTGGATAGACTTGGTGATGGATAGGGAAAAATGGAGTGGTCTGGAGGATGTCTTTACTCGTGAACCTCTTACTAACTTGACTAGGATTAAGTTCTTTTATTTTATAGTTGTACACATACACGTCGTATCTTTTTATGTTGCCGTGAATTTTTATTGAAAAATAATGCGTCCGTGAGATTTTAGGTTGACACATGTTTTTATTAATTAAAATAACAAGTGTAATTAATAAAATTAGGTTTCTATATAATGGTAGGGGAGCCCACGATGCTAAATGGGGATTTACTCGAGCGTCGTAGAGACCTATTGGGATACAAAGCTTAGATAAAAAGAAGAAAAAAATGTTATATAATAAATTCCTTTTCATCGGTGGGGGAAGCGGCTATAGATAGTTAAATATGTAAAAAAAACTGTTGCATGGACATCCTCGAGCGCGTCAGATATTGATAGCATCTATGCCCTACGTATTTTTAATAATGTACGTATGTTAATCTGATCGTTTGCATGATGCGGGTGGTTGTATTTAAGGGTTGAAAATTAAAAAAAAAAAAATTTATCGAGCGCGTCAGATTTTCTAAGGGAGTGTTAAGTGCACCAAAAAAATCTCTCATTCACTAATCTGACGATTTCGATGGGACGCAAACCCACAGCCATTTTCTTAATTTGCAAAAAAAATCGCAATTTTGAAATACTCAAGCGCGTCAGATTAAGATATATGTGGTTCATCTTTATGTTCTAAACGTACTGTCTCATAATCTGACGATTATCTAGAGGGATTCGCCTGATCTGACAAAAAAAAAATAGAAAAACGGTTCACCTAAAGGGCCATCCCTGCAACTTCCCGCTAATTCCATTCCTGGGCGCTTAAAATTGATATTTTGAGCTCGCTGAGTTCAAAGAAATAACATTTCTATGCATTTGAGCTCTCCCAGCTCGAAAGTCTGATAGAAGTTTCATAGAACACTATTTTTTGGAATTTTCAAACCGCAATAACTTTTGAATGGATCAAGCAATTTTCACGCGGTTGGCGGCATTCGACGCAGTTTTATCATTCTCATAAGTAATTTTGCAATTTTAATTGATCGAACCACAAATTTCGGAGTAATCCCGAAAAAACACTTTTTCGGGTTTCTTTCATGTACGATATCTCTCGAACGAATCAACCGCTTTTGACCAGCTTGGTGGCGATCGACGTGGTTTTTCA